CTTCACAGGCCTCATTTTTTTAAGTAGAGGGTTGGATTTTTAAAAAAGCAAGATACATAAGGAGTTATGACTGAAAATATGAACTAGGTATGACCTGAAGACTCAAAAACCAAGGGTAGCTTTAAAAAAAAACCCTCGCTTTTTTTTTTTTTTTTAAATTACCTTATTATGTCTTTTTAGAAACCACTCTCATGGCTGCTGGGGAGCTTGGTAAATAGGTGTTAGAAGCTCAGTCCAGCAAGACTGGTGTTATTTTCTACATCATGCCAGCGCAGAGCATGGTAATGAGGTGCTGCTGTGCATTCTCTTGCCCCAGAACTGTTCTCAGTCAGATGACTCTGGGGCAGGGTATTTTAAATTATGGAAATAGTTTAAAATACACAACAATTTTTTTTTTTTAAGAATAATTTCCTTTAGAGCCGAGGGGAAGAAAACATGGAGATAATATCTTTTTGATTTAGATTTTATAAAAACTTATGAAGCAATGCCTAAACTTCAGGCCAATTTTGCCCAGATGATGTCCTTAGAATAACTGCCTTTACGGATAAGAGCAAGTGTTTTCTCTAATAGATTTACAAAAGCTTGTTGTAGAGTATCTGGCATTAGGCGATAAATTGTATGCAGTAGCAATGACACCAAGGCCTTTGAAGTTGTTGTTTTCACTGAAGTCTCAGCCCATGCTCTGGAGGCAGCAGGCAGTGCGGAGGAGCTGAGTGTATCATCTCCTCGTCGTGCCCATCTGCCTGGGACTTCTCCCCATCCCTCCAAGACATTATCTCCTTGCAAAGATCCCCTTTCCCTTCTGGCCTTTTGGTGAGCCTGCGAAGGGCCAAGTGTTGAGGACACCTTGTGAGCAGGCCAGTAGCTGCCCTGCAATGGCAACTGGCATTTCTTTCTCAAAGGCAATGGCTGACACATGTTGTATTTCCTACAGCTGTGGGGGAAAAGAAAGTACTTTGCATTTGTGAATGTGTGAAATTCACAGATCTGCTGACATATCAGCTCTGGTTTAAAGCTGGTTTTGACTTAGATGAGAAACTGTCAAAGAAACCCAAAGTGATAAAGCAGGTTTTCTGTGATTCAGTGAATCAAAAATCATTCTCTTTGAGAAAACAATGCTCCTTGCCTTGACATGGTGTGAAGAGACCTGTTTTGCTGGCAAAAATCTTGTTTTGAGGTATGAACTCAAGACCATCCTGTTTCCAACCATCAGAGATGTTTATAGTGGTGTTGCAAAGATAAAAACCAGAGTCCTCCAGCCCTTTTGATCATGTTTTATTTTGATCAATGTTTTTTTGTCTCTCAATTTCCATGCCAACTCTAAATTGACAGATGTATTTTCATTACATTGATAAAAATAGCCAGGCTACCCAGGTTGATGGGTAGGACCCATCTGCTGTCCCAACGTACCATTCCT